TGTATGTTTCAGTTGTGTCCCGTCATTAGCTTAAACGATTTTTTTTAGTTCGGTGCATTTTTCTATGCAATGGTGTTTGAAAAAAATTATCCAAACAAAAACAGAAATTAATTACCAGTCAAAATCTAACCTTTTCCATCACTATTTGGCGTTAAATTACTTTTTTCGCTGGTGTCTTGGCGGTCAATTGAGAGTAACGTCAATAATATAAGTTAAAAAAACTTTTTCCTCTCGTATACCCTTTCGGGTCTTTACGATTTGTTCCCTTCCCATCCCCCAACCCCCTGTACCGCATTTGCCGAAGGGAGGGAAAAACCTCATTCGAGGGGAAAAACCTGCTCTGGTACAGTCGTCCTTTTGACAGGACTACCGCTCGACAGTGAAACTGTGAGATTAGAACGCTATAAATTTTGACCGCCGGTGCCCGGGATCGAACCCGGATCGTTGGCATGCTAGTCTAGCCCTCTAACCGCACGGGCACTACCGTCGGTAATAATATAAGATATTTTTCATCAATTCTGCATTCTCCAGTTTTATCACTGGACATAGTAAAAGGATTTCTCTGGTTGCATAATTGGAGTGAGTTTTTGCTTTTCGTCATTCCCTTTTCAAAATATTTTTAGAGATCATGTGTCACGCTTATAAAATTGTGTTTTTCACAGACGATGCGGAAAACGAATTAAGTGTAGACGTTGTACCATCGACATGGATATTCGACTCAGAAGAACATGAGAAAAAAATGTGCTATTTCAAAGTGGGTCCTTTCACAGCAAAATCTATTTCTCATTGCCACAGAATGGTTAAAAATCGTGCTTCAGTTGACAAATCATGGCCAGTATATCGAGTGCTTACAAACAGAGGAGCACGAGAGTTTTATTCTTACAAAGTATTATTGTTACAAGCTCTTTAGGATTTTCCATGTATTGTGACGTATTTTCGCTCTCCGCGGAAGAAGAGAGAAATGTACGCAGCCCTCGACGACTGACCTCGAACGACAAAATGTTAGGCGCCAAGACGTTTCTATCAAAAAAGGCCAAAAATCGAAATTACCAATTAACAATAAGGACAGTTGCCAACTACCCAGTATAACAATCGCGGAGGCGGCTGGGTTCCGAATACTGCCCTAAGATTCAGAAATGGCTGGATTATTTTAACTCAAAATTGATTCAATGTTTGCGGGGTAACAAATTCTTGATTTAATAATATCATAAGTTATCGGAACAAAATAAAGTATCTCAAAAACCCCGTCTTACTCTCAACTATAGGATCACGCTGTCCTCGGTCACAAAGAAAATAAATTAATTAACAAAGACACAAACAAATAATTCTACATTTACCACGAGGAACGAGCGTGTCCACTCATACAATAAAACGAATAGAGTTAAGAAATTGAGAGGGGAATTGCCTCGAAAGAACGTAAACAAACGCCGAAAGTAACCGAAAGGGTTGCTGGCAAAACACAAATCTCGAACGTGGACAGACCCTGCAACTCCACTTCCAATGCTACAAAGATAAATTTTATTAAATAAAATTCAATCAAAAGTATTTGTGGCTTCACAGGCCACGATAATATCAATTAAAACCCCGAGGATAAGAACACTGACCTTAAGATTATAATACTTCGCCAGACAAAAGAAAATCGATAATAGAAGCAAAAATATATTCCAAAATATAATTTAGGAGACGGGCAAGAGTCGTTAAATTACTCAGTTAAGACCACGATATTTCTAAGTCAAGGAAAACTCAATATCACAACGAGTCATTGAAATTTAACGCTAACAAAATTATAATGACTCTACCGACCGAGACAAAACAAACCAGAAATCGGAATACTCGAAAATGGCGTCAATGCCATAGACAATGAGTTCAATAATTAACAAGATCGAGAGATTCAAAAATGCTTCGAAATACAATAAACACTTTTTAATTAATCCACAACTCACCGAACTTTATTAAATGAGTTCCCAGAGCAGTGAGGAATCTCCCAGACTCGTCTATATCCTCCGTGGTCTTTTCCTTTCGCCCGAGAACGTCTCCACAAAAATCAAAATTTACAACTAATAATTTTGCTGTCACTGGTCCGGCGTCCAAACGAGAAGTGTCGTTAAATCGCGGAACGACAATGCTCAACAGGTGACGAGACCTGCCAAAGCCATGATTGGCTCGTCACCGACACACGAGTTTTCGGATTGGCTGTTAATTAACACAGCCGCCACTCAGTTTCTCCAGGAAATTCCCCAAATCTGGCGGAAACGCCAAACTCTTTCCCGAACCGCCTTGCGTTCTCCAACAAAAGAGAGTCATGTGACAGGATCCAAAACCCCACGATGAGTCCGAGATGAGCGGTGGAACATGGCTCGATATAATGAAAAAAATAATAAAAGCAGAAACAATATAAAATGAATTTTTATAAAAGACAGACTCTTGCCTTGCCAATGGTTACTTCTCGTCTGGACATTCCAAAAACCGACGCGAACGGTCAAAATCAAAAATACCACGTTACAGTATACATTTGTCTTCAACTACTTGATTGTAGATACCTACGTCGAGGCATGTAAAGCAGCGGATAAACGGCATTATGATAATTATGCCTTTTCAACTGCCCAGGAAACGTCAGTAGAGAGGATCTTCACTGAGGAAAATCGATCGCCTACAAGTAAGAAGCTAACAAAAAAGTCGGTTCAAGAAGAATTAACCGATGCTTCCTTTGATATAGCATCAGATACTGTTGACAGAAATGAAGAAAATGAATTCGATTCTTATGCAAAGACATCCATTGAAAATAAGAGAGTGAGAGCGAAACAGTAGAGTCCTCAATCCGACAGAGGAGAGGTATGACTAGAGATCAGCCTCGTTGTTTCTCACGATCCCCAGGAGGAGAGGCTTAAGTAGTGCGCTTTGAGAACCAGCCAGCGAGTTCAGTGCTCGAGGGTAGCCGAGCACGAACTACTGCCGAGTATCTGTTGTGCGGGCCCTTATATAGCCCAAAACAGTGAAGTTGGGAAAATACGGTGTGTGACATAGTGCCTAGAACTTCCTACTAAATTACCGGAGCGTCGACGTACGGGAGACGCGTCCGGAACGAGTAGGTAATGTAACGACCGCTACAACACATGATTCTCGGAATGAAAGTGAGGAGGGAAAGACATTCCTAAATTCGAAATTTGCGGATTCTCTAGCATATAAGAGATCAGACTTTGATATCGTGGTGTAGACATTCTCCTTTTCAAGGACTTTAATTAAGCCAAACTAACAATTCTCTGTCCGATCATAAGTAAACAATCTCGAGTGGGTAAACGTGTCTGGACGGCGTCATGTATTTATGATAGTGCTCGGATAGACCTACTTGGCACTGGTAAAGAAAGACGTCAGGAAAAACGAAAGACCTACACTTAAAATTAAATTCTACAAATAAAAATAAACAATTTATGAGTACGCATTTTCCATAACAAATTTTTAAAATAATAAATACGATATTAATCTCTTTTCTATTTATGTAAGTGCATAAAAATACTGGTTTTTCCTTTGGACTAAAAGAAACTGTAAACATTGGAGATATATTAAATAAATAAATGTTACATCACGTTTTCCATAATATAATAAACTATTCGATAATAATGATCAAATAATTAACCCAAAACAATGAGTATTAACTTATCCTATTCTAAGCCTACCTTTCGGAAATAGCTTGAGATCGGAGTAGGGTGAATTACTTGAATAATATGGGAATATAAAAATTTTAATTCACAATTCCAATTTTATTAAGTTATTAAAGTAAAATTTATGGGATTAAACAAGTTTCCTGTTATTAATCCACGACTCAAATTTCTATCACAGATCTAAAGTTTTGCTCTTTCATCGCTTTAATTAATGTAATATATTTTACATCTCAATACATATTTTCTTTTATTTCACATTTTTGTGCATAAAGAAAAAAAATTTAGAAATTAATAAAATTCAACGCATCAAATTTTTCAGAAGTTTCCCTTGATGAAGGTTATCCCTATAAATATTATCAAAAAATAATATTACACCTAAAAATATCACAGTTTAATAACATCATCAATTGAAAAAAATGACAAGCACAAACTATTAACAGCTGTATATGTATCGGTATCAATAAATGACGAATACACTGCTAACACAGAAATCAATTGAATGGCTATTATGACCAGTGTTTACATTCAAACCAGAATCTAAATATCCTTAGTACGCCGATACCCAGTTGGAGCTAGTTCCTGGTAGTGTTTAGACGTGATCATGGGGTTAGATTTGATTCTGAGTCAGAAGGGAAAAAAAATATTAACATGAAATAGACACATATATAATTTGTTACACTATAAACCAAGTCAAGCTACTTGGCGATATGTTCCATACAGTCAAACTGTCAAATGTGGTGCTTTAGCAAAAACAACATCTTCTCGCAAAAGTGGTGAGTAAAATCTTAATATTTAATACTATGTGATAAGTAACATAACAAATCAAAACATACATTATTATTATTGCTATCAGGAGGATTCTTGACTGAAGGCACTCATGGGCATGCCGGAATTGCTGCCACAGTGGAGGCTAAACGAATTTTGCAGAGGATTAAAAAGAAGTCAGCGAAAACAAAAGAGAATAATCAAGTAATACTGGCTGACGCTGTATCCAGTGCCACCGATAGAGCAGCTGCAGAACTGTCCGGTACTTCCTTACTATTGCAAACTGCGCAACGTACTCGTAAGATACACAGTTGTTGAAACCAACTACTTGCAAGGAATGGATTATTCCTGAATATCTAACGAAAACAAAAAGGGAGAAGATTTTCTGTTTATGATGCTAGAGGAAATCAAAATCAATTCATAATTCTTGCCACATTGAACAATTTACGTCGATTATCCCAGTGTCGAATATGGGTGTCTAATGGTACTTTTTCATCAGTACCGACCATTTTTACGCAACTTTATACGATACATGGTTTCATGCAGCGAGAAGACCCATATACAAATGAAAACAGGATGAAACCATTACCACGCCATAACCAAGTAACAAAGCAAGTTATTTTTCCATTTGTTTACGTTCTTGCACCCAATAAATCAAAAGCAATATATCAAGGAGTCTTACAAATACTATCACAGGCAGAAGGAATTGTTTACAATCCAGAGATAGTAATAACACTTTACGAACCAGGATTTTATAACAGCTTCGCTAAAATGTTCCCACAAGGAACTGGACTCCAAACCAGATACAACAATGATACAGAAGTTGCCTTGAACCTGAAAATGCTCATTGCCCTTGCTTTCGTTCTACCAGAGAATATGTATGACGCCTACACTGAGCTCATTACTTCACCGGTTTATCGTGAGAACAAGGCTGAATTAAAACAGTTTCTCAAGTATTATAAAACCACTTGAATTGGCAGCAAACGTGGCAGAGATTACACGCAAGGGACCTTCCCAATTCCACTTTGGATTCATTATGATTTGGTACTCAATGGTGATCCAAGAACGACGAATGGCGTGGAAGGGTGGCACTTTGCCTTTAATTCACGCTGCCAGCGGTCTCACATTTAAATTGGGACATTTATCGAAGCTCTACAAGCAGATCAAGCATTGACAAAGGTTAATTAGGAGCAGCTAGTGGTAGTAAGATCAGTGGAAACGAGAAAAAGGAAAAAATATAAAGATTATGATGTTCGTCTCAAGGCTTTATTCGCAGCCTTTGACCCCAATATTTTTGAATATCTACGTGGAATCGCGCATAATGTTCAACTCTAATGTGGAAATGACTGTAACTTTAATTGTAATATGCGATGATAAACATTATTAATTTTCAAGTGATATTTTTTGTGGATGATATTTTTGAGTATGATATTTTTCGATGTGATATTTATTGTGATATTTTTCAATTGTAATATTTAGAGGTGACACCTTGATGAAATCCTAGTTCCGTGAATTTTGCTCTTTGTTGACCGATGATTTCCAGCACCAATCAAATATTTATTCCGTGTCAAATGTTTAAAAATTGAATCGCCTTAATTTCTGGTCAATAATGGATTATATGTTACACAATTTGATTGGTTTAAACTTTATGAAATCGCGGAATTGAAAAACGAAGGAAACCGCAGAAAGGGGAATTGAGATTCGTTCTTACCAAGGGATCCTTCGCTCACTACTACTAATGATGATTACGATTTACGCACTTTATGTAGGCTGATACAATTGGAATTGTACCATTTAAGTGGCATGTACAGATACACAGTCAAGGTTATTTTTGCAGTAAAGACATTCCGGAAACCATATTGTCTATGCGGGTACCGTTAAAGGATTGCGCTTACCATGTGGTACTATGGTCGATGGCTTTTGGAACAATGAAAATCAGCAGAAGTGTCTCTTCCACTTTTACGGATGACTTTGGCACGAATGTACGGCGTGTTATAAAATAAATAGCCATAGGGAGTTACATGCAGGGGACTCGCCTGATATTCGCAGACGCCGCAGTTTACTACGATTAAATTCTTATACATCTGAAAAACTTAGTATAACAACACAAAAAAAGAGAGCTTGTGAAAAACGCCACATAGTCGTGTGTAGAATGTCGGTATATCCAGCCTAAATGTCGATTATGCAAGGTAACCACAATAAAAGGGACTACCTGGCAGGTACTCAAGTGGCCGTCATTATGGCCTGAGAGGCGTTTAGAAGTGACCATCAAGAGGACAACACCTGGAAACCACGAATCGTTTGAACAAAGCCACAGAATTGCTTAAAGGCAAAAAAAATTTGCTAAAGATCCTTCTTAATTCATATCTTCCCTTTATTGAATGCGGGGGGCCAGCAACTTAAACAACCCTCTAATGATAACTGATAACGAGCTTTTTAATGAACAATAGTTATCCGTTGTCAACGAAAGTCCGGAATTTATGGCCCCTGAACATCAGGAAAATACGTGAACATGCCACTATTTACATTAGAACAATATTAATTAAGAGAGGCTAATGCGTGATCGTCCCATATTTTATAAAACTTATAAGACTTGTTCCGTACCTGTAGAAATTGGCAGTAATATGAGGGTGACGGTACACCGTCCAGAAACATCTCTTCTGAATACATTGGTAAACATATGAAGATGCCTCCCACCACACCTCAAAAAACGTTGGATGACGCAGTATCAAAACACCAACGGTCGTAGGGGAATTACATTTGAACAGTATGTAAAAGGCGGTTTTTCGAAAATCAGCCAGTCTAAATTAAATCTTCGGCTCAAAATCTTCAAGTGGTGCTTTGCTCATCGTCTAGTTGACTCTTCAAGGACCGTCTACAAGGGAACTACTATGCAGGACCACCCTCTGACGCCACGACGGGCCCTAGTCATTTAAATTCAAGCCAACGAGTGCAAAGTAAAACTTCGACTCTGGATTTTCAACGAGGGGCCCTGCTCATTATTAAAGCTGACCCTTCGAGATCCGTCTGTCTCATCACAACTGACGCCTTGTTCGAGTGTACAACTCAATTTGTTCAAATTATTCGTCGAGTGATACCCAGCCTGTTGTCCAGGCTGATTCGGGCTTGATTCCCCATGAAGGGGTCAACTCTGCGGAAACAGCTCTTGTTGCCGAAATAGGCTTCATCCCGGGTGGACAGTTCAGGGAATTGTCTCGTCAAGCCAGCATAGACCAGGTGCGTTGCTCAGCGTACAACTGAGTATGCAACTCAGGGATTTTTCTACGGATAGCAATACAAAGCTAGTGAATAACCAAGTTCTTCCTGAGTGGACAACTCAGGCCTGTTAATACCAGCAACATCTCCAGACTAATTACCACATCATCTTCACTAGCGCTAGAGAAGCGTGTTTGAGCGTTTTCAACTCCATCAGTGCTAGAGGATCTAGCATATTTTTGGAGTTCTCCGGAATCTATTACGAAAGGGAAACACCGAGCGATCGCCCATGCCTTCCTGCCGTGTATTCCTACCACCGTAAGTCAGAAAAACACGCCAACAACATTTATATTATTCTCTCCTAGACATTTCGCACTTCTACCCCTGGTGTTTACCTTGGGCTCATAGTATTTTGTATTTCAAGGGAAGTGTAATAAATTAAAAAATGTATTTAAAGGGAAACTTAAGGGTATCCTTCACATTCTGCGCTAATTCCTCATTTAATCCTCTCTACTCCGAACACGACTTGTCGTGACTATTTACGGTCAACTTGCCTCAAGGGTTCACCTCTTATTCGATATTTCGACATACCTAGTGACCCAATGTCCGCAACAATGCTGACAGCTAATAAGATTCGTCATCTCGGGTACACATGATAGATAGCACAATTTGATAGAAAGGTGAGAGCATACGTTCGATCATGAATTAAAAAATTCCGTACATGACTGCAATCTTGTAAACTATTGATGAAAGCAGCAGAGTTGAACCCCCGTGTTGCTTTCGTTGATGACCGTACAGAAATAGATAAACTATACCTGTTCTGGACAGCGTGATCTGAGAGGGGGTGCGGGACGGTGTAAGGCTGCGGGGGAAGGTAATGTCGGTTCCCGCAGGACCCTCGTTCGGTAATGGTGGATTCTACACATCATCAGGGGATGGTAATGCTTGAACGCACATTGTGGGGTCGTATAAGAGGAGGGGAGTTGTATTCACCATGTGATATCTGATGTCGTATATCTGTCATATCATGCGTAATGTCTAATATCTCCCATGTGAAGTCTAATGTCTTATACTATAATACTAGAACTATAATTTCTGATGTTCAATGTCTAATATTTAATATGTGATGTCTAAGGTCTAATATCTAATTTGTACTATCCAATATCTAATATCTCATAGCAGACCATCATAGCTGCAAAAAATTTCAGACGATCTCTTGCCGCTGGATTTTTTATGCTACCTCCATAATGATAATTACAAATTTATTCATGATTGTGATATTCTCTCTGCAATATCGTTATGAATAGAAACGAATAAAAAAGATGAATATTTTTTTTGCTTTTTAACCAAATGTGAGGAATCATTTTGAACTTGATAATTCTCACATTGAGATCGAAGCGCGAACTGGTCCTCACTCGGGCGGCGGTGTGTGCGTGTGTGTTTACCGGTGGGCACGTACGCTCCGTATAAACATTAGTGCTGGCCTCGCCGAGTTATGCTATGGTGATGCAAATATTCATGTGAACAAGTGCACGCTTATCAGCCTCAGATCAAAGAATTTGAAAGTCCCATGCATAATAATTGATTGGGAAATTATTAAAAAATATTTTCTAGGAGAAATTTGTCCGTTACAAAAAACGCTCGTTAGGAATTAACAATCGTTGCCAAAAATTAAATTTTGATAGAGTGGTGGAGGGGATAAGGTCATATACATCATAATTTTCTTTGCCAATAATTATTATTGTTTACTTACATTTCCAATAATTATTATCGTTTATTTACTTATTTAGCTGAATCATTACATTTTTCTTGTTCACATGAGCTTCTTGACGCTGCCGGAGAGTGAGCTGTATTCGACGATTTGATCGTGTAAGATAAAGCAGTATAATGTCCAAAGTGTCGAATTTCAAGAACTCATTCTGCTTCGAGCAATCGATAACGATGAGTGGTGCTGGTTTCAAGAAGTCCACTCTGCTGAATAGTGGTTCAGGCTCTTTATGGTAATAGGAGGCTTGGAAGTTGGTGTACATAGAGAAGAGTTGATTGGTTGTGTTTAATGTCTAAATTCAGATTTCCATCCGGGTACCTTTGCAAAATCACCAGCCTTGGAGAAACGTAATTTTCCATTACTGTCGTCAAACTAACATTTTTACACATATCAATTTCCACAGAATTCAATTCCTAGCGTATTTCCTCCAATAACTGACAGATGAAATTATTCACAAGCCGTGTATTTGCAACAAGTGTGTTATCGGCTCTCGTCAATCTACCACAAATGTGCAATGAACTCTTGCTTGGTAGTACATAGAGATCCTGCTGTTGTATGGAAATATGGATTTCGTCATTGCTGCTGAAGGAAGACGGTAAAAATAGGTGGCGCGAGTGAATCTCATAACGACCAATGGACTCATCAAAGATTATCCGCTTCTGAATGTTCAGGATCTCTTCCATGGTATATGGCCGTAACAGCAGGCGATGAAGATACGGCAAACCTTCAGTTTCCTGCTTTTCCGCGAAGTTTTAATCTTAGAGTCCCCAGAAATTTGATGTTCTGTGATGTCAGCTTCGTGAGATGCGCTCGACGCCTGTTCGCATGCCGACGTGAGTCCACACTTTTCTAACTGTGACCAACTTTCCCCCTTCAAATACAATACCCATTATTCAATTAGCTCTCATATGAAGGTGTACTGTAATTACTTCGGCGCAGAAATTCACAGGGCGATCGTCTTGATCCACAATCTTCAATTGTAGATGGT